GCTCTGCGGTTGTAGTCCCACTGCCGCCAGGACGTGGGCTGCACCGCGGCCGCGCACGTCACGAAGGCGGTGATGTACAGCACGGTGGCCACGGCGTTGTAGATCATCAGCTGCGGAAAGCAAAGGAGAACCTGAGCTCTGGGCTCAGGCTCGTGCGTGCTGGGGAGAGGCAGGAGCAAAAGGCTCGGGTTCGCATTCCTCCCCGTTCCCTGGAGAACACACTGAATGCTCCCCGGCTTGTGCTGGCCGGTTCTCGGATGACACCGCAACTGCAGCAGCTGGTGGCTGCAAGTTTCTGATTTGAGCATTTTCCAATCAATTCAAGGGCAGAATGAAACAATGTCACTGTGCAAAGTGCAGGGGACTCGGCTCCATCCAAGAAAAGACAAACCTTCCCAGACTATCTTTCCCAGACTATCTTTCCAAGGTGTTTCCCTCTTGGGAACCCACCCCCCCTCATTCCCTCTCAGCTACGCACCACGAGGGGCCAAGGGATCATGTAGAACTTCTGATGAAGCTGCAGGAGGTAAGTCACGAAGAAAAGGAGTGTTAGTATCCAGAAGAAGAGGGACACGAACATCACCCAGCCGTATGCCGCATGGAGGTGGTACGTTGTGGCAGCGATGAGAGACCACACCAGTAAACCGAGCACCTGTGGGGGGAGATGGGGAGCGTGTTCAGGGGCTGGTTCCTGCAGGAGGAACACAAAGCATCGCCCACAAGCACAGACACACCAGCACCAACAGCAGCTGGGTTCCCTTCACTCCAGGAAAGCACACTCGGCAGGAGAAGGGCGCCTTGGAAAGCCGCTGTGCCTCTGTGCAAGCCCGCAGCGCTCATTGTCATGGAAGAAACACAACAGCCTTTGTCCTGCCCGCGTCCAACGCCCTGCTGCTCGGCTGCCCCGACAATGCCTCCTTGTCTGTCACGTCCATTTCTAACACTCGTGATCGCAAAATATGTGCTGGGGAGAAGCATGTAGAGGGGACTCCTGCAGGAGTGGGAGGTGGCATGTGTGAGCTGCCCCGCTCCGGCTGCTGGCGGAGGAAAGCAGGTTCAGCAGCCTGGCCTGAGCAAGGGGCTGCAGAGGTGGGACCTGCAGAGCTGTGAAGTCTTTGCTGCTGTTCTGCCATCTCTTTCCTGATGCTCCTGCAAGGCACCCCCGGCAGCATCGTTCCCGGCTCCTTCCCTGAGCGTTTGTCCCGGTGTCACCACCGGCTCAGCCGTGCCCAGGGGCTGGAATCTGGAGCCAGGTCTGTGCCAGCTGTTTCACAGTGGCTGCTCAGGGCACATCCCGAGGAGAGGGGAGCAGCGAACAGGGGGCGGCACGGTGGGCAGCTCACAAGCGGCCCAGAACGCAGCTGAACACCCATCCCCGTGCATTCTTGTGGCACCCGCGGCCCCGGGGACAACACCAGAGGGAGAGATTATTGTGGTTGCCTCCGATGCTGAAGCAATGGGGAGGTGATGCTGCTGCTCATTTGATGGTGCAAGGACCCTCGGGCTCCTCTGAGAGCAGCCGCCAAAGCCTGGAAGGACAACCTGGAGAGCTGAGAGTGTTCCCAGGAGCGTGAGAGCCTCAGGAGCAACCCCAGCACACCTCACCTGGAGTCACTGGGCTTCGCACACCCCCCGAGCCACTGGCTGTGCCCTGCGGAGATGCCCGCACGGATCAGCCGTGCCAGGCACTGGGAACCGCCCGGCGCTGAGCGGAGTCACACGGGGTGTGGGGACAAGAACCCGACTTTTCCTCTGGCTTTGCGGAGGAAAGCAGGAGAGAGGGGGCTGCACTGTCTTAGGCTTGGGGATTAATTAGGCTTAGCGGAGATGGGGTCGGAGTGGCAGCCAAAGAGAAGCCGGGCTGTTTCCAGCTGAAGAAAAGCGCCAAAGGGGGTGATGCCCTCCCCGCTCCGCCGCGTTCCCTCCCCGGTACTCACGGCCTGGGCGCCCATCAGCCCCCCGAGCGGCGAGAGCAAGAAGGAGCCGTCCAGGCCCGGGGGGGAGCCC